GCCCCACCCACATTCACTCCCCCCAGCCCTGGCTGGGCAGCGTGTCCCAGCCCCAATCCCTACCCCACCCCCCTTCCCTCCCTCCTCCCCCAACCCTATGAAACTTACCAGCTGGAGGCAGCTATCAGCTGCCTGTTTAGTTTATGGCCGAATCGCCAAATCTTTTCCAAATTGATTTGGGTGCTTCGAATCAATTCAGAGCTTTTACTTGCTCTCTGGATTTGGAGATTTGTTCCCTGAATCGGGCCTAATCTCTGAATCGAATCGGCTACCAAAGGTTTGCACAGCCCTAGTATTTAGCTATTGTGTATGTGTTTAGGAAACCAGAAGCCTGGCTTTACTTTGGTTTAGAATAAATAAAAGTATTCTTTTACAGGTTCTCTGAATTCTGTCAATTATTTACAATGGGAAAGACAGCGTACTATAAGTGTTTCTTAATCAAACATCAGGACATAACCAAATATAAGTATCTCTATACACTCATCTGTACCACCTCCTTACACCTGAAACAAATAGACCCAGGAAAATACCCTGGGTGTCCCAAATAAAGGCTTTTTCAGGCCTGGAGTGAAAGGACACCGTGACAGCCCAAGGAGTATATTCTCAACAATTGCTTGACCAGTTGTCTCATCCGTCATATTGTGGGCATTCTAGCATTATTGTTTTCATTGACTGTGCGAGATGGTATTGCAAGAAAGTTTGTCCGAGAATGCATGGGGCTCTGTGTGTGAAAACCAACATTATGAAATCTGATTAGAGTTGCACATGTCACCAGTACAGGTCCTCGAGCTTAGGACTCCCATGCTGTCTATAAAATATCCCGTTCATCCTGCAGATTTGTCTTCTCCATCATTTCCAGATTCTGAATTGATTTGACATGCACCCTTAATATTGGCAAAGAAATGGATGAATGATAGTGAGATTTTAATCTGAAAGATAAGGCTGCACTCATAGGTGATAAAATACCTAATTACACAGTAGGATGATTCTCTAGCCAGACTCTTTAATTTAAAGTTGCAGGAGCCAGTGACCATTGAACCTTTTCAGTCCTAAGACCATATGTAATCATTGCTATTTCTTTATAATCACCTCTGTTCCTTTACTCCTGCAGCTATTCTGCAGCTCCCCCAAATACCATCTGCTCCATCATAAAGGAGAAGAGAGGTAGTAGATGGTAGCTTTCTGGCTCTTTCCTGCATCTCTGCTGGAAAGAGCAGGTATTGGTTCTCAACTGGTTCTTCCTGAGCCTATGGAAATAATAATTTTGTGAACCTGTGCTTGTTTTGAAATAATGTTTGTTCTACAGGCTAAAAAGTTACATACCACTACATTTAAGATGGCGTGGCCCTGAGTTTTCTTGTAAGAGGTGGATTCAAAATATCTGATCCAGAAACATGCAAACTCATAGCAAATGAAGACAGAAATTGTGTTTCAGAGAATTCTCTAAAGTTTGAAATGTGACTTAATACCTGTCTTGGACATTTATTTTTATTTTTTAAATACTTATTAATAATCATAATCACTTTAAATATATTTAGAGGGGGAAATGCAAAACCTTAATTTCCTGTTCTTTTCACTCTGTCTTCCTCCTACTTATTAATCCTTCCTCTGTTTTTTTTTTATCACCTTTCTTTTTCTCCATGTAAATACTGATTTTCCTTCTCTTCCTCTTCCCCTTAACTTCTGTTTCTTTTTTTATTTTTTACAATATTCACATAATGAATTCCTCAGTCTCCCCAGTATGCATACAAATAAGGAAGTGCGGGCAAGGGAAAAGAAAGACTTGAACATTGCAGCCAGTCTTGAATAAAATATAGGTGCTTGCCCAACTGAAATGTCATGATTATGTATTCTGCCAGAGGATCATGGGAAATTAGAAGAGCAGATTTGAGAGGTATGGAGTTATTAATTTTCTTTTTGGTGTTTTCATACAAAAATAGTATTTATGCATGGATATCAGAATTTTTATTGGGCAAATTCTTGACGTTTCTGCTATGTATGATTGATTTTGGAAATAAAAATGGCTAATTCTAACCTATATGTAAGATTATGGATTTGACCCATGTTTTTACTGACAGAGAACCACTTTGTGATGGTAAAATGATACTCCACTGCTTCCAAAATCTACCTTTCGTTTTTGTAAAAATTTAGAGGTACATATTATTTGCATAAATTTAGAGGTAATTTTTTTCCCCAACATCAACAATTCTTTATGCATCTTTATTATGCCTAAACATGTATGAAACTCCCTTTTATTGAGTCAGATTCCCTTTTGTGTGTATAGGTTGCAAGTTGGGAGAAGCTTCAGATTTTATTGTACGTCAAGGTACACTTATTCAGGTTCCATCATCAGCGGTAGGTGTTGGCTGCTACAAAATTTGTATGTGTGGACATAGTGGACTCCTAGAAAACTGTATGGAAATGCATTGTGTTGACCTCCAAAAATCATGCATTGTTGGAGGAGAAAGGAAAAGTAAGTACTGGACTATAAATGACTGTATACCCATTGTTACATATTGTGGAGATTTATAGTGACAGAGGTTGTCTGGAAGGAGACATGGTGCCCTCAGCACTGCACTGTTTTATATTTTAGCCATTTCAAGTTCTTGGGCAGCATGGATTTGAAGGAATGATACTGCCAAGGGCTCTCCATTCAGTCAGTGCACTTGGAACACATCCAAGTGAGTGCATGTGTAGTGCAATGCACAAGAGCATAAATGACCGCCTCAGGTAATCCTGACTGAGAGCTAAGTTTTCCCTACAGAATTGGTGGAGTTGCACTGTGCACAATGAAATTATATCCCTGGTACCATCTCTGTAATACAGTGTTGTGTTTGAACAATATATTCTTCATTAAGTGTTTTCATGGGATGTCTGTAAAGAAAATGCTCCCTGCACATTTAGTTAGGGTACTCTAATATGTAATAAATGGCATTTTTAATTTCAGTGCTGTATCTATATGCACTGCATTTCTATAGGTTTCATTATTTCATTGATCCTTACAAATGGGTGAACTTAATTCAGCAGTGTACCTCTATATATTTTGTTGGTTTGATAGAATCAAATAGATGGTAAATCAAATTAGTGGTAAAATCTACTTGTAGAGCAGTTGCCATGCTTTTACATAATATGACAATTTAAGTTTTCTTTCTTTAAAGGCCAGAAAACCTTATTCTTCATGTTTAATTTGTTTTTTATCATGTGTTTTATATGGAACTCGCAAGCGGTTACTCATGATAGTAAAGATTATGCTCTGTAGTAAGTATTTTCTGGATGAGGGCCAATAAAAGGATGTGGCTTGAGATGCATTTAATATTGTAAAACTATAATTTATTGATTAGTTATTGAAAGGTTGCAAACAAGTAAACAAATCGGGAAAGGCAGAAATTAAGGTTCATTCGTGTGTGTGTGTGTGTACACTCTCTCTCTCTCTCTCTCTCTCTCTCTCTCTCTCTCTCTCTCTCTCTCTCTCTTAGAGCTTGCGTTCAAGCGCCCCCACCGCCATTTTTAAGGGCCAGGACACTGATCCCCTGGACGAGCTGCCTGTGGCTTCATCTTGTTCACTGCCCTGGCCCCAGGGTCACACTTGCCACCCTGCCCCAGCCCCTGCACCACTCCCTCCCTTATTGTGGAAGCCTCAATCTGGCCCCTCCCCAACAGCCTTCCCCTCCACAGACTTGCCTGTAGGGCATTGATCTCCATGCTGCCCGGCTGCACTCCTGGCCACATGCATGCTGCGGCTCACACTTGCACGTGGCGTCTAAGGGTCCTGGCCAGAAGGCATATTATACTTATCAGTACGTTATTGGCTACACTGGCCAAAAAAAGGCTGATAGCCGCTAATGTTAATTTTCCTTATATCAGTGCTGACTGGATATGGCACCGATATAGTAGTGCACCTCTAGTGTGTGTGTGTGTGTGTGTGTGTGTAGGGGTCTCATCTACAAAGAACTTTAATTAGTATTTAAACTGATTTTGAATAGGTATAAACACCCATGTAGATACTCTTTCTGTTAGTAGCTTATTTCAGTCACTTGGTCACACGTTATATCCTATATATTAGTGTGGTTGTTTTTTAACATGTACTCTGGCCTGGATTCTCTGTTTGAGTGGTAAAAATTGTAGAAGTAAGCTCTGGGGAGTAAAAGAAAAAACAGAACACTAGAGCTGGTTATGGCTCAGGAAAGCCTTACTTGAAGAGAGCCCTAAATTATACAAACTAATACATTTTTGAAGAAACCAGACTTGAGAGCTGTGCGCACACATGACAATCTCCCTTAAGCTATTCATCTTCATAATGAATAGTCTTCTGTTATGCATGGTCATTATAAAGTACGATGCACTATTAGATCAGGTGTCCTGACTGATAGGGAGTCAATTCAAGATGATTCAGTATAGTGTCATTTCTGTAGCATAATGATGTCTTTTGAGTCTTTCCCCGAGGAAACAGAATGTTCATACCATGTTTTATATTTGAAACTTAGTTTTATAAAAACATTTGTCATGTTACCTGAATTAGCCATAAATAAACACGTAATTGATATGTTTTCTTGTAGCCACTGAAAACTTTTAAAGACTTGTTTCTAAAAACTATGTTTGTACACCTAGCTATTGCAACCTCTTTATGGTATTACATGGTTTTTCATGTAGGCTACTAAACAAACAGGGTTCAAGATCATTTAGTAGGTAGGGGCAAATTAGGGACCTAGAGGGAAGTGTAAGGAAAGGCTAGGGACAGATCAAGGAGAAAGCCAAGTAGCAAGAAGAGGTATGTATAAGCAGACAAGAGCTGGAAATTGAGAGGGAACCTTGAGGGTGGTTGGGCCCTAAGCTCCTCAGAGACGTAGTTGAGGCAGCAAGTATGGACATCACAACATCCCTATGTTTACATTAACAAGTGAAAGAAATATAGACTAGATGGAAGTACTGTAAGGTGGGTGTATAACTAGTTGAATCATCACACTGAATGAGTGGACATCAATGGCTCAATGTCTAGTTGGGTGGAGGTATCAAGTGGTGTTCCCCAGGGGCCTGTTCTGGGTCTGGTATTATTCTGCATCTTCATTAATGATTTGGACAATGAGATTGAGAGCATGCTTAGTAAATTTACAGATGCCACTAAGATGAGTGCAGTTGCAGACACTGTGGAGGGTAGGGCTACGATCCAGAATCACCTGGATAAATTGGAGAAATGGTTTGCAGTCAACCAGATGAAATTGAACATGGACAAGTGCAAAGTCCTGCACTTGGGACAGAACAATTGCATGCATAAATTCAGACTGGGGAATGCTTGACTAGGCTGCAGTACTGCAGAGAAGGACCTGAGGATTATAGTGGACCATAAGTTGGTAAGAACCAATACATGCTGGGCGGGGGTGGGGGAGGGCTTACTTGGTTGTCTCACAGAAGTGTGTCTTGCAAATCAAAGGAAATTATTCTTCCTCTCTCTTCAGCACTGGTGAGAACTCATTAGGAGTACTGTGTCAAGTTTTGATCTCTACACTTCAAGAAAGATGTAGACAGATTGGAAAGTCCAGTGGAGGAGAACAAAAATTATTAGAGGCAGAATTTGAGGCAGGGCTGAAAGAACTAGGATTATTTTGTCTGAAGAAGAGAAGTCTGAGGGGAATTTGATTAGAGTCTTTAAATACCTGAAGGAAATTATAATGAGGATGGTGATCGACTTCTTCCTGTGGCTTTAAGGACTGTGACTACTAGGAACAATGATCTCAGACTGCAGCAGAGGAAATTTAGGTTTGGGATTAGGAAGAACTTTCTGGCCAGGAGGGTGGTCAAACTTCACAACAGGTTACTTAGAGAAGTTGTGGACTCTACAGCCTTGGAAGTTTTCAAGAGCAAGTTAGATGAATTCTTATCTCTGACTAAACCATTTTCCCAGACAATCGTGCCTTGAGCAGGGGGCTGGAGTAGGTGACCTTGTGACGTCCCTTTCAGTGTTAGTGTCCTATGATCCTTTGGAATGGTCCAAGTTAGGTCAGGTTTGCCTGCTTCCATTATTTACAGTAGATGGTACTGCTATATTTACTTGAATCTAAGACTAATTTAAGGAGACCCCTCCACTAATTAGATTCTATACTGTACGTGGAAAGTTTATTAGGGGTGCACTGATAGATATTTTTGGGGCCGATACCAATCGCCGATATTTAAGGAGGCATATTGGCCAATACTGATCTAATTTCCAATACAGCTGCCTCCAGCTGGTAAGTCCGGTGTGGTGGGAGGGAAGGGGCATTGTGGG